CAGGTCCCCTGGAGGCTCTCACACTTCAGCCACCTCAGCATCCCTGGGGGCCTGTTCAAACACAGCCGCCTGGGCCTGGGCCTGGGCCCCACCCGGGTGTCTGTGACTCAGCAGGTCTGCCGTGGGGCCCAAGAATTTACTTTTCTTCCGCGTTTCCAGGCAATGCTGACACTCTGGTCAGGGCCACACTTTGAGAACTATGGTCTGGTCCCAAGGCATGGAGCAGGTGAGACCTGGGGCTAGCAGAGCAGTTCTCGGCATGTGGCCTTTGGACCGGCAGCCTGGGGAGCTTTGCGGAAGATGTAAATTTGGGGAACGGACCCCTCACCTGCTGGGTCAGGAGCTCCGGGGTGACGCCCAGCCCCCTGCAGTTGAACAAGCCCCCCTGAGTCTGTAGTGGGGTGCTCACAGGGCCGGAACAAGCTTCCCATCTGTACAGTCCCCTCAGCCCTTGGGACAAAGGAGAGGGGCTTCATGATCTGCATCCAATGGACGGGAAACCTGAAGCCCGGGGAGGAGCCGGTGAATTAGCAGAGCCTGGACCAAGCCCAGGTCTTTACGGGCAGGGCCCTGGGCGCGTTCCCTTTGCCATGAGTGTCTCGGGCTGGGCACAGGGTGGCCCTGCCTCGCTGCAGCTGGCCTCGTGCCTCCGAGACAGGAGGTGCGCAGAGTGCCTCCGTGTCCCTTCTCCCAGGACACTTTTTAATATATGTGTGTGTGTGTGTGTGTGTGTATATATATATATATACATATATATATAAAATTATTATTATTATTTTTATTTCAGAGAGGAAGGAGAGAGAGAAAGAGAAAAAACATCAATGATGAGAGAGAATCATTGATCGGCTGCTTCCTACACATCCCCCATTGGGGGTCAAGCCACAACCCAGGCATGTGCCCTTGACCAGAATCAAACCCAGGACCCTCCAGTCTGCAGGCCAACGCTCTATCCACTGAGCCAAACCAGCTAGGACCACTTTTTTTTAAAAAATATATTTTATTGATTTTTTACAGAGAGGAAGGGAGAGGGATAGAGAGTTAGAAACATCCATGAGAGAGAAACATCCATCAGCTGCCTCCTGCACACCCCCCACTGGGGATGTGCCCGCAACCAAGGTACATGC